GTGCCTGCGATCGGAAGGTCACTGGTTAAAAATCCTGGAGGCAGCAGAGTCACTGCTGGGCCCCTGAGCGAGGCCCTTAACCCCCAATTGCTCCAGGGACTGTCAACTGTCTCACAAATATGTATGTCTGCTGAATAAATACGTTTGTTCTTTGTGCACCTGTTGTAAACTCCCACTAAAACATCCAGAATCCTGGGACACCGCTGCCCAAATGCTCTGGGAATACTGTGACACGTTTTCTCTGTGCCAAGTCAGACGGATCTGGGGAAGAGCCCCGCGCGGGTGGGACTGGCCGTCCTGTCACCCCGGCCCTCCCCCCCATACCGGCCGCCCGGATTGCCTCTGCGGTGACGGCGTGTGAAAATCCTGTCAGTCGGAAGCAAGGCCTGAAAAACAAAAGTGCCGCAGCCATTTAAATAGCTTGGCTAAGCCAGCGACCCGCTCTGGCAAGCCCGGGGCCCCCAGCTGTGTTGCCTAGCAACGGCCGAATTCAAGAAGGATGGAGGGAAGCGAAATCCCCGCAGAGAGAGAGAGAGCGGTGAACAGGCAGGAGCCTGGCGCTGACAGATGAGACGGCCTGTTTCATCTAATACACTGTGAAGATCACTGGCTCTTTCCCTGAATGATTAATGGGCTGTACACAGATCAATAGCCACGGCAATAAGGCGAGAGCCCGACTTCAACACCTAGCTGGGGACTGGGCCCTCTAGCATACCGGGTCCACAGCCACTCACTGCGGACTGCCGGGGGGGGACTCTGTGTCACCACCGATCACAGTGCTAGCAGATAAATATGTTTTCAGGGACCTGACACCCCCCTGGTCAGCCTACGGTGTCTGAGCACACTGCCCCCTGCCTGCCGTCTTGTGTAACTGTCTGCCCCTCTGCCCAGTCTGAAGGGTCATCGTCTAGGTTTTCCTCCCTCTCCTGCTCAATCTCACCTCCCCGTTTTACTGCGGACGGGAGATTCGTTACGGGGAAGCTAATTACCGCTGCCTTCTTCTGCGTTTATGGATACGGTGCTGAGGGCTGCAATCCTGATGAATGTGGCATAGGGAGCAAACGGCATCCTCATCTGTTTGAGTGGGAGGTTGGCCCCTCACAGATGGAGATGCAGGGGCCGGAGCCCGGAGCTCCCGGCGGGCTGAGAGGGACCCCAGGATCCACACCATAGTTATCGGTTATCCATGCCACTGGCTGCCATCATCGATCTGCCTGTTTACATTTCACTTCTTCTTGTAATGATTTAGATTTCAAGATTTAGGGGGAAAGGTGTGTGTGTGTGTGTGTGTGTGTGGTCCAGGTATACCTTACCTTGTGATGAATACCGTTTTTTTTTACCTTATGGGGTTCCAGTGACTGCAGTGAAAAAACTAAAAATGCAAAAAGTCTTGTATTTTGTTTGTCTGCTTATGGTTATGGTTAGGGCTGGGTGGGGGTTAAGGTTGTCACAGTTGTCATTAGCATTTTTCCCATAGAAATGAATGAGCGGTGCCCAAAAAGATATGATTACACGACTGTGTGTGTGTGTGTGTGTGTGTGTGAGTGCATGTGCCCACTTTGGAGGTATCATTCTCTGTGTGTTAAGTGTGCATCTGTCTGCCTCTGTATCTCTGTGGTGTCTCTGTGTTTTAATTCCTCCCTCTGTGGTCGTCATTAGGAACCTTTGCTATGTGTTTGAGGTCGGATACAAGCTGAGGATCTCCAACTTGACTGGGTTGTGTTTCTGTCCACAGGCTGCAGACAAGGCCAAGCCAGGCAGCGGACCTCTGAAGTAAGTGTGGACCCCGCATCTGTGGGCCTGGGTTTCGGTTCTCTCTCACCTGTGCACCAATCAGACGCCGCTGTGTGTCACATGACTGTAGCAGAGTACCACTGGGTGGAGGGGAACCACAAGAACACAGAGTCGTGGGGGTCAGTGGGTTACACCGGGGTGTGGGGGGGGGGGAGGGGTCACAGTTCCCCTGTGCTGTTTATGCGAGGCGATGAAACATGGCCTGGAGAAACAAACTGCTTTTGAATCAGCAATTTGCGCGCACAATGGTAAGATCTGCGGGGGGTTTGATTGGAGAAGCGTAGCAAGCGGCTGGCCCAGTTTGCCTGAATGACGCCCCCATGTGTGAGTTAATATTAACGGCCTGACGTATGACTTTTTTATCGCTAATAAACATTTCCACACCGGCAGCCAGAGATGGGTGACAGTGTAGAGATGCTCATTAGGGGGGCTGCTGTAACCACAGTCCCTGGTGCCCGATCCTAGGAGGGCGGCACACCAGCAGGCTGCAGTGCCTGACCAATCAGGGAGTGGGAGCGTGGCTGTGGTGCTGTACGAGACCGAGCTGCAAGGAACTGGGGACCTTTACCGCCTTTTTACCACGTTTACCGCGCATTAGCATGACGCGGTTCCAGCCTGACCTGAGGAGCTGTGCAACAGTGCACTGCATTATGCAGCTGCCCAGGATTGGATTCTCAGAAGGGGCTGGTGGAGTAGCGGTCAGGGAAACATGGTGGACGCTCTGCACTGCAGTCCCATGTCCAGCTGGTGGCCGCCGTGGCGTAAGCTGTCAGCTGAGACACTTAATGTGAAGCTCTTACCAGGCTGTCCGGCCGGCCGTCTGATCAGAGTGTAAATTCACACATTAACACTCCGAATACAGGCATGGCTCATGCCACATGTTGTCACGTTGAGGCCCCCATTCGAGATAAGGGAAGTGAATACATCATGCCCTTGGACCTCGAACAGTTACTCTGTTGAATCAAGTGACCAGGGCAGAGGCTATATAATAGGTCATATGACCAGGGGAGAGGCTCTATAATGGGTCATGTGACTAGGGGAGAGGCTCCGTAACACTTTAACTTATGTTTCGTGATGTCAGAGATTCCAGCTAATTATTAGCACTGGATGTTTCAGCAGTAGTGGTCCGTTCCAGAGAATCCCCAGTCAGGACGCTAAGGTAAATCTGAAACAGGCTTTACTGCACCCCCCCACCAGTCCATACATCTGTCTTCTTATCTGTGAGTCCAGACACTACCCTGCTTGTTGGCCCAGCAACCGCATGACAAAAGCGGACTAATGGCCAGCGAATCGGGGTTACGGCCTGTGACCTGGGGGGTGCCGAGCCTTACTGTCACGCCGACGCCTGTCGCTCCGAATTGCCTTAGTTGCGCCAGGAATCTGGGAAGTAAATGTTATGAAGGTGAGAAAATGTATGTATTGAGTTCAGCTCTGCGGACGGCCCAACGGTGCTGCCAATCTGTGTGAGCAGTCAGGCAGGAAATGCATGACAGGCTATGCGGGGGAGGGGGGCGGTGCACTGCCTTGTCTCATTCTGCCCTGGCAATACGTCTACTGGCTGGTCATCCTTTACGAAGGGGGGGGGTTGAAGACGGAGAGTGTTTTAAGATTGTGTCAGGACGCCTCAGACGACTCCTCTCTGATTGGCTGCTGGCCTCTGCGCTTTCCCCGAATTTTCATGGGCACCTACTACTATTTTAACAATGAGGTTCACAGCCGGGGAATGGCGGCATGCTTCTGCACACCGCTAACATGCTTTCACACGGCAGAGTGTGACACACTCGCGAGGCGTGAATGGGCGGGATGGGGGGGTGGGCAGCATGAGCGTCCGGCCGCCATTAATCAGGCTTGCGTCCGCTAACCGCTAACTGCTGCCGGCGCCCCAGCTGCCTCGCACGGCTTGGCGTGCCGATTGGCAGAGCAGAAGGTGTTCTGGCAACAAGAGGCTGATAACGGGAGGCGATGACTTGGGGGGGGGGGCTTTTAATCTCCCCCATTAAACCTGCCGTCTGGGTTCTGGGTGGGGGAGGGTGGGGTGCAGCCTGAGTGCCTGGTGGGGGCTCCTGCCAAGCTCTGCTGTCTCTGGCCTTCACATATGACCAGGGGAGTTTGAAGGGATAGGGGGCTCCGTTTCGGGCCCTCAGAGAGGGTCAGCAGTGGTCTGACCCCCCAGCCTCCCCCTCACAGCTGAAACTTTGCAAGTCCTCTAGAAAATGGCACAAAACTTCAACATACCACCAGAGAGAGAGATATATACACACATATACTCCCACACACATAGAGACACACACAGGGTGTTCAAATCCCCTGGCCTCCTGCTAGGTATGCATGTATATGTGTGTGTGTGTGTGTGTGTGTGTGTGTGTGTGTGTGTGTTTGTGTGTGAGTGCATGTGCCCACTTTAGAGGTATCATTCTCTGACCGCTGACCCCCCCGCCTCCAGTTCTCTGCTCACTGGCCTGTTAGGGGAGACATCTTGATCGATCATGGAGCCACATACCTGTGGTCTCTCAGATGAGACTTGTTGATCTGACAGTGCCCCCTAGACTCAGGAGATGGGTACATTTAGACGCACATTCCTGCGAATGCAGCATTGTTTCTCTGTGTCCCAGACCAGCATGGCCCAAATGACCTGACAGAGCAAACTTTCTCTCTGACGCCTCATATATACTTTTTTTTATTACCTTTGTATTACAGTGTAGAGGGATCAGCTCACTGTGTTGCGTGACCTCTACATTAGTCACAGTGCATTCCCCCCTGCCAATACAGTTCCCTGCATGCTGTCTGCGTGTAACATGGTGTGGGGGAATCCAGACTGGGGGGGGGGGGGTTTCCAGCTCAACCCCAGGAAGGGACTGCTGCTTTGCCCAAAGCTCATGCGTTCCTGAGTAGGTGAATCTGTGTGCTGACACAGAGGCACTGTAGGAATCCAAGGGCTGGGGGGAGTTACAGGTGCTCGGGGGGTGTTTGTGACAGGTGAAGGCAGTCACAAGCAAACGCAGTCGCTGGTGAATGCAGTGACAGACAAACACAGTGACAGGCAAATGTATTAACACGCAAATGCAGTCACAGGGGAATGCTGTAACAGGCAAACAAAGTAACATGCAAGCATAGTAACAGGCCAACGCAGTGACAGACAAATACAGTGAAAGGCGAAGACAGTGACAGGTCAATGCAGTGACAGACAAATGCAACAACAGGCAAATCCAGTGACAGGCGAACACAGTGACAGGTACACGCAGTGACAGGAAAAGGGTTAGGCAGCCAGGTGTAACTGAACATGCAGGGTTTCTGTTGGCGGACTCTTAGGTCTCTGGATCAGCATCACCTTTTGGATGCTGTGAGCATCTTAATGGGATCTTAATGGCAGAGTAAAAAACATCAAAGCAGTCAGCAGAAAGTCACTGATTGACATATTGGCAAATGTGACATCCCTGAAACGGTGACACAGTCACACAGCAGGTCTACTAGCTTCTGGGTTTAAAGGCAGAGAAATCAATGGAGGCTTAGGATGAAGACCTTGGAAACTGAGAAAATACAGTGAAGATACTTGATGGAGCTCAGTGAAGGTCCACAATACTGATACAGTGATGCTTGATGGAGCTCAGTGAAAGTCCACAGTGCCGATACAGTGATGCTTGATGGAGCTCAGTGAAGGTCCACAGTGCCGATACAGTGATGCTTCATGGAGCTCAATGAAGGTCCACAATGCTGATACAGTGATGCTTGATGGAGCTCAGTGAAGGTCCACAATGCTGCTACTGTGATGCTTGACGGAGCTCAGTGATGATTCTCTGTGGAGTTCTGTAAAATACAGTGAAGTTTGGTGAAGGCACAATGAAGGTGGGCAGAGGACAGAATGAAGTCCTCTCAGTGTGAGAGGTTAGAGCCGACGTTGAATGGGTCCAGATAGATAAGGTAGAAGTTCTCTCTGCGCATGTGGATCTTTATGGGAGATCTGCTTAGGCCCCACCCTCACTGCAATAACACAAGATCGAAATTCTCCAAGCTGTATAACCAGGGCAGAACATCAAAACATCAAAGGCACAGGGGGAGACTGCCCCCCGGACCCCCATTCAGGGCTGATAAACCCCCAACCCAGATCAGAGTCAGAGCAGTCTTTGGCTCACAGGGACAGCACTTGTGATGGAATGGTGAAGTGACACACGTTCTCTCACCCTTTCTCTACTCCTCTCCCCCTCTCTCTGTCATTATCTCCCTCTCTCCCTCTAAAGGAGGTTTCCTCCCATCATCTTCTCCGAACCCTGGAGCAAAATGCTCTTGCATCTGTGGTTTGACACGATCCCAGTGTCTCTTTACCTGCTTGATGAAGGTCTGTACCTTAGGAGAGGTTTGCCAAGTGCAGTTATGATGGACAAAGGAATCACATGGTTAATGTGTCCAGACAGGCAGTCTGCAATAGAGTCCTTATTGTTTAACTAGTCCTAGCATTAACCATAAATAGCCAAACAAAACACGAGACTTTTGGCATTTTTAGTTTTTTGATTGCAGTCACAGATTTGTATAAAATTGAGATTGGTCCCCACAATGGTCCAGCACCCCAAGAGGCATTTTTCAGAGGGTTAAGGGCCCAGCTGAGATGTGGCTATGATGTGGAGCACCGGCTTCAAATCAGTGACCTTCCCATTGTTGGCACAGAGACCTAACCTACTGGTCCCTGTTTGTGGCCCCTCCTTGGCACCCGTTCATGTGACCCCTGTGTGTGACCCTCTCTCTCCCTCCCTCCTCATCCTGCATCATTTGTGCATCAGTGACCTGTCATTTTGCCAAGCTACGCATTTCCCCTGCAGAACCCGGGGGGTCTTCCTGTGCAGTGGGATTCCCGCCATAGCCCACTGTTGGGATTTTTCCGGTCACTGTGTATCCAGCTGTGCTGTGGGATTCCCGCCATAGCGCACTGTCGGGGTTTATTTAGCTGCTATCCCACTGGGCAATGTGAGCAGCACAGTCAATGCGTC